CTCATTTCTATGGGTTGTTTTTTTATGTACACAACTTGTTCTGTGGAGTTTAATAAATCTTGCATGAGTTACATTACTCATGTGGAACTATATGCAGGATCTGGGCTTCATATTGTAGCTACAACAGTGAATTAAACATTCATTCAATCAGGAGTTAGCTAGACAAACAAAGCACCAAAACAGATAGTTTGATTCTGGTGTTGAGTAGATCAACTCATATGTTTAAGTTCCTGACTTTCCTAACAGTTTGGAGCCCCTGGTGCTTCCAGCCATGTCCCAGCCATCAGCCCCAGTGTGCTGTGAAACATTGATGCTATTTAGGGAGTGGTATGACTATTTCCTCCCCTCCAGAAGGGACACACAGCCTCACAGGATCCTTTTTCTCATAACATGTTTTTCAATAAAATTTTCCCAATTTTGTAATCAGTTGGGAAGAAAGAACATTTCACAATGTTCGTAAGGCCTGTGGATGTTTTGACCAGACATCAGATTTCCTATTGATAGTATTAAATGCTTTGGAATGAAATGTTTTGGGTTTTCCATCTGTAGGCTGTCTGAGATGTCAGCAGCCTCTTTCCCTTTTAGGTCTATAAATAAAAGGCAGCTTGTTTAACTGATCTTGCAGCACAGAGCAGAGGTGTATATTAATGAGCTCGCTCTAATGGCACACTGGACCTATTTAGCACCACGACTGTGAAGGCTTCTCTTTTTCAGTCATAACTCATTTCCTAAGAAAATGTCAGTTATTGCTTCACCCTATGGTCTGAGCTGGTTAGTTTATAGTTTATTTCTTCTGATCTGTACCACTGACAGATATTCTAGACGTGACCATGATTAAATATGCTTATGAAATGGTAAACATTTGATAATGTAAACCCTCTTGGGAACATGCTGTTATTTCTGCATGGCAACATTCTCAGGTGCATTCAAAGTATAATCTGGAAGCAAAGAAAAAACATTTTAAGCAATTCCAGTTATTAGATTAAGCTGTTTTGTTAGGAAAATTGTGATGTGTTTAGATCACTGTGGGATAATTCAGTGTTTTCATAAATATGCCTTTTAAGTGCATGATACTGCAGCAGCTACACTCCAGTGAGATGTTAGTGTAAAATAAAGATAACATATGTATTTCCATATGGTAGTGAACCAACTTAGTCCCAGAGATTTATACAAGGTATTTTTCCTGGTAGAAGCCCTATTCTAAATGCAGCAGGAGTTACAAAATTGGATGACTACATCATGCTCTGTCCTGTAGTCCTGTGGCATTGTTTTGTGTGCAGCATAGCAGTGTCCAAAGCACACATTTATGATCTCACTGTAAAGACAAAAGTAGTAATTGCAGTATAATTATTACTTTTATTGATGAACTTGTTTAAGAGCTCTGTTGACATTTACAGACGTTGAGGATCATGCAGCATTTGTTAACAGCTATCCCACGCGTCAAACATCAACAAAATGTTTGAGATTGTAGGATTAAGCAGTGACAGATTGGGGCCAGATGTCTGGGAGATACCCTAAGTGGCCTTCTCAATTGATAAAGTAGCTCTTAGCATCCTGTAGCCTTTTTGAAATTGAATGTTTATTCGTTGTACTCGAAGCTGAGACACTTGTGGGATGGGTGGATCTTCGTGGAGGTTATTGTGAGGATAAGGTATGAATGAGGAATTGGTTGGATGGTTGCATCCAGAGGATAGTGGTGAATGACTCAAAGTTCAGATGGACACCAGAGACAAGTGATATCCCATACTGGAACAGGCCTGTTTAATATCTTCATTAGAGACATGGACAGTGGGACCGAGTGTAGTCTCAACAATTTGCAGGTGACACCAAGCTGAGTGGTGCAGTTGACACACCTGAAGGACAGGATGGCATCTAGAGGGACCTGGACAAGCTTGAGAAGTGGCCCATGGGAATCTCATGAGTTTCAACAAGGCCAAGTCCAGGGTCCTACACGTGGTCAGAGCAACCCCTGGTATCAAGACAGGCTGGGGATGAAGGGGCACAAAAGTGCCCAAAGGGGTGGAACACCTGTGAAGAAAGGCTGAGAGTTGGGTTATTCAGCCTGGAGAAGACCCTGGGGAGACCTCAGAGCAGTCTCTCAGTACTTTGAGGGGCTTACTAAGGGGACTTACAAGAGAACTTAAAGGGATATTAGTTCAAAGGGGATACAACACTGTGGGCACACTAATCAAAGTAGACTATGGAGAGGAGGAAGCTTGGGAACAAAGAGGGAACAAGTGATCTTTAAGACCTCAGAACATTCACTCCATTTGCCAGAGGTTGGATTTATGGAATATCCTATGAGAACTATGGTTTTGCTAAACTCTGCTTTATTTTTCGTGGACTTCAGCATGTTTGCACATTTCAGATTGCTCTGTTCCGAATACTTTTCAGATTTTTAATGGTGATTAAGAAGAAAGTTTGTTTCTTTTTAAGCCTTGATAGTTTGGTCACTTCCAAAAGTCCTCTACTTCCTTGTACCAGCTCAAGTGTTCAGAAGTGGGTTGTGGCCAAACAAAACTTCTGAAGACATAGACTGCATGTCTCCAGGTGACTCTGTGGATCTCTCACGATAGCTGTGATGGGGAAAGATGGAAATATATATACATATCAGATAGTTGTCTGCACACATAGACCCAATATGTCATTCAGATGGATCAAATATCTGCTCAAGGCAGTAAAATATTTAGGGCAGTAAAAGCCCTAATGCATGAGTGTCTGGGAAAGGCCATGGGTGGGTTTCTGTGTGTCAGAGTGCATCGGTATGTTTAATCTGTAGTGTGCAGAGTTGATCTGCATCGAATGACAGGACACAGCCTGCAAAATGAATTGCTGGCTGGAGAATCCAGATCTCTGTGTCTCCAGAGTCACTCTGCTGAGGTACTTAAAACACAGTGGTCTGAGCAGGATGTGGTGAACCTTTCTCCATCAGTAGTTTGAATTGCTTTTGGCAGGCACCAGGAGATCAGGTGTCTCCAGGTTACACCATCTTTGAGACTGTCTGCATCTGCTCTCCCTTCCCATCCCCCCTGCCTGCAATACTGGGTGCAACAATTGAGTCAGGTTGCATGCACTGATGTATGTAAGAGGTGTGTGTGTGTGACAAATCAAAGGGATTGGCAAGATGGTAATTTCTGTGATGCCATCTGAGGAACCACAGGTTCCTGGAAAGCTGCTGAACAAAATCTTGAGTCAGCAGAAGGAGGTGACAAAACACTAATTTTGTGAGGGTCGGGATTTCACTTTTCATGAGCAAAAATCGTACAAAAAACTATGGCTTCCAGAAACAGTAGTTGGAGAAGGTTGCCCAGGAGGTTGTGGATCCCCCATCCCTGGAAGTGCTCAAGGCCAGGTTGGATGGGCCTTGGAGCAACCTGGTCTAGTGGAAGGTGTCTCTGCCCATGGCAGGGGGTTGGAAATAGGTGATCTTGAAGGTCCTTTCCTTCTTCCGGAACTGTTGTTAGTGTTGATATGAAGGTGAGTTGGATTGTGTTTCTCAAATACATTCATTCAGATCTTGAATCATTGAGGAACCAGGTTTTATCTGCATTATACACAAGATCTGCAGTGCCATAAAACAGACTACATGCATTCCATGATGGGAGTATTGTGCATTTAAATATCTGAACACACATGTGAGTATCTGAGTGCATTTTATGGGTTTGCAGGTGCATGAATCATAGAATCATAGAATCAGCCAGGTTAGAAAAGACCTCAAAGATCATCAAGTCCAACCCTACTGTGGTTACTAGACCATGGCACTAAGTGCCACATCCAGTCTCATCTTGAAAACCTCCAGGGATGGTGAATCCACTACCTCCCTGGGCAGCCCATTCCAATGCCTGATTACTCTTTCCATTAAAAATCTCTTTCTAATATCCAACCTAAACCTCCCCTGGCAGAGCTTGAGTCTGTGCCCTCTTGTCCTCCTGCTGGTTGCCTGGGAGAAGAGACCAACCCCCTTTTTTTCAGGGAATTTTAGAGGGTGATAAGGTCTCCCCTGAGCCTCCTCTTCTCCAGGCTAAACAACTCCAACTCCCTCAGCCTCTCCTCATAGTACTTGTGCTCGAGTCCCTTCACCAGCCTCATTGCTCTTCTCTTGACCTGCTCCAGCACTTCAATATCCTTCCTGAACTGAGGGGCCCAGAGCTATACACAGTATATGTGCATACACTTGTGTTTGTGCTCACCTGAGAGAGTTCCCAAAGCCCATCCTAGAGTCAGTGCCTCCACTGCAGTGGCCTATTGCCTGTACCATTGAACTTAGCAGTGAGTGATGCAAAACACCCTTCCCTTGGCCTAGTAGCTGGAAATTTTCCTTATTTATTTATTCAGATTTAATTTGAAACAGTGACTTTTGTTATGCAGCGTTTTATTACTGAGCTGCCTAATGGAACGGGTGCTTAAGAAATCAGAATTGCTCAGGTTACTGGTTGTATAAATGCTGAGAACAGATCTGCATGATACAGCTAGTAAAGAAAGGGGTGCAGAATAACAGCAGAGTTCCTTTGGATCGATCTCCAAATGGATCAGGTCTTCCTGTAATAGCCCATGCTCGTCTGCTCCTGTGTATAGTATTTCAGACACCTGAAACCAGGTTCTAACTTGCCACAAATAGCTTCTCTTGCTCTCTGTCTGTAGCCGCTAATTGTTATTGCCCACAGTGGTTCCTGTGCCAATTAACATCTCAGAGGACTCATCAGAACACTTATTCCTTCTTTAAATTTTCTAATCTGACACTGTCTTTAGGCATTTGGTGCTTCAGACAGGAGGTGTGAGATATTTATAACCCTGTGTTATTACTGAGCTACACACCATATCTTCGGTGACAGATTAAATGAACAGCACAAAATGTTGTGTTTCATCCATAAATTTCAACAGATGTTTGAATGTTGGTTGATTTATTGCATGTCCAACTTGGATCTTACACTGTTCTCATTGTGGCTGAACGTGGTTTATTTAATAGCGCTTTACAACGGCTTTTTATGACATTTTTTCAGTTTGAAGGGTGCAACAAGGCATTTTCTAGGCTTGAGAACCTCAAGATTCACCTCCGGAGTCATACTGGGGAGAAGCCATACCTGTGTCAGCATCCTGGCTGCCAGAAAGCTTTCAGCAACTCCAGCGACCGGGCGAAGCATCAGCGAACGCACTTGGATACCGTAAGCATGATTCCATACTGGGAGTTGCACTGAGCTTTCCAATGGTCCTTGCACACAATTGGTTCTGCAGCTGGAGGAGGACTTTGCCTTTCATGAGGAGAGTGTGAAAACTCAGCTATAAGCAACTGTATTTTGTTTTGAATTGTATGTGCTTTGATCCCAGAAAGGCAAATTCAGCTGTCTTACTCATGCTGAGGAGTAAGTTACTCAGGAATAAGTTACTCAGCAAACCCTCCCATTGTTCTTGTTCCTGTAAGAGGAGGCAGCAGCACGATAAGGTATAATGTGAGTGAAAGTTGAGTCATTGCTGCTGCACTAAATGTGTGTCACTGTCTTGCTTCCTGTCCTGTGTTGCTTCAATGAATGTTCTGAATGAATGCAAAAGCAGCTCAGACCCCTCAGTGGAAGGTAAATGCACCTCAGGTTTGGAAGTAGATCTGTAAAGGTGAAGATACATCTGTCTTACAACTCCATGAAATTTACTAAATACTCACCATCAGAATAAAGTGTTTATTCTGCACAGTTGGTAGATTCTGGCTCAACTCTACAAGTCTTCTCACTTGTCTCACAGAGAAGATGGGAGCCTGTCTAGTGTCTTAAGCTCCACTGAAATGAAATCACCATGTTATAGGGAAGGAAAGTAATGAGACAGCTTTGCAGACCAGTCAGGTCCTGAGCATAAAGCTTTTAAAGAATAACAGAGTTGTTCCTTTGTCTTTTTTGAAGAAGTGAGTATATGCTGCAACGTTTGGCCAAGTGTTTATGGGGCAGAACTTCTGAGTTTAATTGATATTTACTTTTTAAGCAGTTACACATTTCAGACAGTGCAGCATTAAGGAATGTCTAATGTACATTATGCCTTGCAAAAACAAACAAGTAAGAGAAGCGAGTCAGTCACATTTTCCAAACCAAGGCACACTTACAATAACAGTGTTTTATTTACTTGAGAGTCAACCTGAGATATTTGAATTTATAATTAGTTCTCAAATGTGTCTCTTTTGAAAGTGAAGTTTTTGAATTTAAGAGCATGAATCAAATCGAATTTTTATTAGCCAAAGTTACAAATGCAATGCCATTTATTGGTTTTGAGAGAGAACTCAAATGGTTATTAAAGTGAGCAAAATTTCTTTGTATCTGTTATCTGTGCAATATTGAAGACAAATGTCTTAACTCTCTACTTTTTTTTCTTCTCCCTTTATCTGTCTTTATTATCTGAAATGCTCATAAATCAGGAAAAAGGTACAGTAATTTTTTTCTACTAACTTCTTTAAATATCTAAAACCATCCTCCATGCTATTCTGTCACAGGTTCTTTGTTTCTGTAGTCCTACACACAGTAACTAACTTGCACTTACCTGGTTTGATTGAAATCCTGTGGTTTAGCTCAGTGTATTCTGTGCTTGTGTGAATGTGAAAAACAGCAGAGCTACAGGATGGTGCTGCTGCAAGACCTGCACATTGCAGTGGACAAAACAACTGCCTGGAATGTCAAAGCAAAGAGCCATGAACCTTTGTAAGAGTAGTCACATTTTCATCTAGTTTCCCTATCACTAAGTTGAAAGATTTTATCACTGTTTTTGGATGACGCCAATGGTTTGAAAAATACTCTGCTAGTTTTTCGGCTAAGGGATTTGTTGAAGTTTTCCATAGTTTTTCCTCAGGTGTCAGTTCCAGATACTCTAAATAAATCTCCCTTGCCCTGTAACTTTCTGGGTAGGTGCTGTGTTAGCCTGTAAGGTCATGAATTGGTGAATGATTCTATTATTCCTTCAGAAATTTCCTGCTGGCTGGACAGAGCAGCAAAACTTATCCTCTGGAGGTACTCACAAAGAAAGGGGGTTTATATGGGCTGCTTATTCCTTATTGAGTGCATTTGGAATTGGTTTTAAAGCTTCTCAATGTAGGTCACTCCATCATTTATCTTCTCTAAAAGAAGAACCTGTAAATCATTTCACTTACTGGTGTATGCTAGTTTGATTGAATCTCTACTAAATCATCTGGAAGGAGATCCTTCTCCTAGGCAGAAGCAGAACAAAGGGAACCAGTCTGTCCTTGTGGCAAAAAGGGCATGTCAGCACTCCTCCAGGAGCAGAGCAACTGGTTTAAAGGACCTCATAGTCACTTCTTCCAAAATTGGTGGGGTTTTTTTCCCATCTGTGCATCCTCTTTCTGAAACCAAGGGGATTAAAGAATGTGACACCAAGGTCATGGCAAACTAGTTTTCTATCTTTGAGAGGACTCCAAAAGGATTTACTAGTCCTAGTGAGAAGGCTGAGGTAATGTTGATAAATGAGGAGGAAAAAAAAAAGGGAAAAAAGAATGTTCTGTTGAAGTTTAAAGCTTTGTGAGCTGTGCCATGCAGTACTATCTTGTTGGTACCTAAGAGTGGTTACTTAATAAGAAGTGCCAGAGTCCCTTTGCTCACCTCGGCAATTGAACCTCCGTTTGGAGTTTGGACTGGAGTATGAGCATCCGGAGTGCTCAAATGTTAGTGTTTAATGCAAGTTGTTTGGTTAGGAGTTATGAAAAGAAAGACATCACTGTTGTTATTCAAAAGAGAAACAAGGTATGAAGGAAACCAAATGCATGCTATGCCCCAAGCTTTGCTCTGCTGCATATCATAGGATCACAGAATCATTAAGGTTGGAAAAGACCTCTAAGATCATTGAGTCCAATGGTTAACCCAGCACCACTGTGTTCACCTCTAAACTGTGTCCCCAAGTCCACATGCCCTTTGAACACTTCCAAGGATGGTGATTCTACCAGTTGCCTGGGCAGTCTGTTCCCATGCCTGACCACCCTTTTAGTGAAGAAATTGTTCTAATATCCAATCTAAACCTCCCCTGAGAAAACTTGAGGCTCTTTCCTCTTGTCCTGTCACTTGTTAAAAGGGAGAAGAGACTGATCTCCCCCACCTGGCTACAACCTCCTGTCAGGGAGTTGTAGACAGTGCAAAGGTCCTCCCTGAGTCTCCTTTTCTCCAGGCTGAGCCCCTCCAGCTCCTTCAGCTACTTCTCATCAGACTTGTGCTCCACCAGCTTTGTGGCCCTTCTCTGGATGTGCTCCAGTCCCTCAATGTCTTTCTTGTCATGAGGGTCCCAGAACTGCACACAGGATTTGCAGTGCCTCACCCATGCTGAGCAGTTGTTGTCAAAACTGTGTAAATCAGAACTGAAAACCAGAACTTCTATCTTTATAATTATACTGGGTGATCTCCTGATAATTTTCTTTATGGTAAAGCCTAGAGAAAAAAGTACTGCTCTCAAAACCCATCCAGTTACATCTCATTAGCATTTACTTCAGGCCAGTAATCTATATCCAACATGCCAGAGCATAGATGTGTCGGGTGCTCTCAGTGCTTGCATGGAGTGTAGAATCAGAGCTGTCAACGCGGCTCTTTGGTTGCATCGTGCCTGGCTGGTGTGCAGAGAGAGACAGAGCAAACAGCTCAGGCTTAACTCTGTGTGCCATGGAACTGGCTGTCTTTCAGCAATGTGTGCTGAGTGTAGAGATGCAAAGGAACATGACATCTCTCCCCTTTCCTCCTGTTGACAGAAACCCTACGCCTGCCAGATTCCTGGCTGCTCCAAACGCTACACCGACCCCAGCTCTCTGCGCAAGCACGTCAAAGCTCACTCAGCCAAAGAGCAACAGGTGCGTAAGAAGGTAAGAGCCACCAGGCAAAAAGTGACACATCTCCAGCTCTCCTTGATACAGTTATTTTTAATCTACCTTTAATTTATATATTTTCAAATCAGAGTAGTTCTGCAAGATCACTAGAGGAAAACTTAAGTGGAGCTAATTTTCCTGTTGATTTTTAATCACTGTTGTCAACCAGGTCACCTTATACTTTTTTGCACTTTCAGGGCTACCACCCTCTAAGTTTGGTTTGCCCCACTCTCTCCAGACATTCCTTTCCTGTTCATCTTTCATACACAAGCCCAAACTCTGCTGTCATTCACATAAAAAGTTCATGCATTGAGTCTCTGCAATCAGCTAGTAAATACATGTTGGCAGATCATCTAAAACACAAATGAAACTAAGCCAGGAGACTATGGAAATGTAGGAAAGGAGCACTTGTAATAGATGAGAATGAACCCCCCTACTTTTCCCACCACATCTGTAATTTAAATGCATTTATAAATCATTCCAAACCCAAACTGCTAGTTATGTTTTCACTAGTATTAGATTCAAATAAGTATTTTTGGTTTCTGTGGGCTAAATCCTAAGTTGATTATTAAATGGGGATGCTTATGGGCACCAGTCCAGCATCAGAGACTTGTTTATTACACATTTGTACACACAGTTTGGATAATGATGCCTGGGATCCCACAGAACTGATCTGGGACAGCACAGACTGTGGGCATACTCCAGGCCCAGGAGGGGCAGGGAATGCTGCTAAGGGAATGCCTTAGTGAGCAACTGCAGTTAGTTCAGTAGGCAGCAAGGACATTTTCTCCCCCAGTGCCTCACCACTGCCAAGAGCAGTGAGACAACAAGGCATGATTAAAGGATGGAGGGCAGAGCAGAAGTGACAGCCTGGCAGGATAGAGCTAGGGAGCAGCTAGTTTGGAAAAATGTCAAAGGTAAGAAGTAGAAGCACTGGAGAGCAAAGAGAGGAACATGTGGAGAGGAGAGACGATAGGAGAACACAGGTGATCTCTGCTGTGGAATCCGGGGTGAGCTATGGAGGGGTGAGAAGGATGTGAAAAAGCTCTAATTCTCCTGCTTGAATGATTTGTCTCTGTGTCAGCCATGACCCCTGCCTTACATCCCTTCCCTCCTGCTGCTCCTCTTCCACAGATTTCACCAGTTTGAACTTAGGGTCCCCTTTCCCAGGACAGCTCTCTGTCCCCTAAATCTTCCCATAACCCTTCTCTGCATCAGATGTGTCCAGCATGAATAATAGTTCCCAGGACATCAGTGACCAGAGCTGTGCACACTATTTCAGATAGTCATGAAACACTTGTTACATGCTGAGCTTTGTGCCTGGGATGACACTGTTCATGCCCAGCACCCTCCAGGTGTCCATGGAATCAAGTCTGTTCTCTCTGTACATATCAGCTCCAGTCAGAACTTTTATTTAGCTGGACTGGAAAAACTGCCTAGTTTTCAATCCCAATTTTGCATTACCAGGCCATGTGGTTTACCTACAGCTCTTTACTTCAGCAGGTTCCACAGGATGTGCTGTGCACGTGTGTCCCACACCACAGGTCACAACATTCCCAACACTTCCCTAGATTAACCTTTAGGTCATAGTGAGAATAAGAGTCAGAATGCCGTGGCAGTAACTGATTAATTTTATCTAATTAATTCTATGTAATAAGGGTAAGAGTCAGAAAGCTGTAGTAGTAATTGGCCACAGAAAGAGGTTGGCTGTGGCAACAGAGTCTTTTGTGACAGCAAGATCTTTGCTACAGGAAGATTTTGTTATATGAAATTCTCAGCAGATAGTGGAAAGCAACAGTGCTCCCTGTTCCAAAGAACAGAACTTCCACATTTTCCCTTCCTGTGGTTGCTGGCATACTTCTAGGAGGACGAGACTTATTTCCTAATACCAAACCTGGGTATCATTTGTTCAGCTCTCTGTACTGGGCTGAATGCATTAACGTGTTACCATCCCTTACATCTGCACAAAGGGACAGTCCCCACTGTCACATCCTGTCACCTGCTTAGGCCTAGTTCAGGAAAGTGGAAAAAAAACCCCTAAATCCAAACTTTGCATTAAGGGGCACAAAGTGCTTCCTGCATCAGCAGTAGGAGGCCTTAAGCACAGTGTCAACCCAGGGCCAATTTGGTACACACCAACTGCAAAATCAGTACCAAGATGTCAAATATCCAGGGTTTCATATTGCTTAATCTCCTGGCTTGAGGAATTTTCCTGTGTGCATTACATACCCTCCTATTGACTTATCCAATCTGTCTCAAAATAATGTTAGCTTCTTGCCTCCCACACCTTATTTGGTAGACCAGTCTAAATCTGCACTTCTCAGTGGTTTGAAATCACCTTCAGACTTCCCATCTCATTTATCTATGATAACTTTATGAATACTTGACCCTGTGTCTTTTTTCCTCAAACTTAACAGGCACTGGGAAAAGCAGCAGATTTAAAGTGCATTTTGGTCAGGCTCTCTTAAAAGGGATCAAAGCAAATCTGGCTCATAAAGAAATAGGAACTCCCCCAAAATATTTCAATTAAATGTACTATAGGAAAAAACCCCAACACCTTTCACAACTAAGTAAATCTCAGTGTTACTGAACAGTCTCCTTTGGATTTCAGATTTAGGGAAAAAGTGGAAAAGACTCACCTGCTCCGTTTTCATTATAACTCAGCAAAATCTGTTGGTATCAGCTTCCCAGGAGTTCTGAGTGGAGATGACTTAACCAATAAAGAAAAATTAACAGGCTGTTCTGCCAACATGTCTTGGTTAAGATATGCTACCAAAATGTGCCATCTCTGATACAAAATAAAATGCCTTAATTTAGGCTTGTATCAAAGGAATCCTGAGCATTTAGTTCACATCTTAGAGGATTACTGCAGTGGTGATATTTGGTTGTTCTGAAAGGCTTTACAAGAGCGAAATAGGAGAAAGTTAGCTGTTAATTTGGTAGTAGTTTAATTGGGTGCAGATGCACTTTGTGATCCAAATGTCAGATGTTTATCTTGAGCCCAGAAATGGCTGTAGAGCAGAATTCTAAATAGGTTTGCCTGGGCCCTTTATTTAGAACCAGCAAGCCCAGGGGAGATCGGTATGTGGAGCTGTAAGGACAATAACTATTTATTAATGGCTATAGAATCCGATGGCTGTTTGTGTAACGCGAGCACTCTGTTATGACAAAAGCTTGGCAGCATCAGCATGTTTGAAAGAGAATTAGAAATGCTTTTCTTTCTTAATTCTCCTCTCCTGCTGTTTTTAATATGATCGACATTGTGGTTTTCAAGAGTTTTGCTTCAGACACTTCTGCCAGAGCTTTAATTTTCATGGAGCACAGCTGACACATCCGTGATACCTCTTACACATTACTGACAGTGCCTCATTCCACCAGTCCTAATCTGATAAGCACAAATGCTTTCCTTTCCCTATCGAATGTCTTTCCAAGTGTCACAGTTACAAGGTGATGCAATCCTTCTGCCACAGAACCCAAGAAACTACAGAAAGCCTGAAAATGTGCAGCTCAATTACTCAAGAAGGTTTGAAGAAACACAGGGTACATTATTTTCCAAAGCTAATTGTTGTTGATTTAAGATTAACAACTTAACTTGTGCACTTCAAAAACCCACAATTCTCTCTAATTAAAAATACCAAGTACTAGATACATCTTTAATTACACCAAGTTCCTAAGAATGACATTCTTTCCTTCTATATATAATCTTTAAGGGATAGAGACATATGAATTTAATTAGAAATAATCTGATTTGCTTTGAAATAAAATGTTTGTTTTATCCTCCTCTTGTAGCTAAATTCCTGTACCGATATCGAACAAGACGTACTAAGTGAATGTTTGGCTATACAACAACTCCACACGTCTTCACAGCACATTCTGGATGGGAAGTGTGGCAGATCTGTAGGTCATCATGATTTAATTACAGGTAAGAATACTTCTAGGAAGTATGGTGCTGAATATGTCATACAACAGAGGATTTTAGACCAGAAAAGCTTATGGATCTGATTCGTCATCGTGAAAGGTGAAAGAAACTTCAAACCAGCAAATAAGATGAAATAATTTCGTGAGTTGTTTCTCAGAGGTTGCCAAATAGCAACTATTAATTTCACATGAAGGGAGCAGCAGCCCTGCTCAAAGTCTGTCTCCATCCACTTGTCTTCTTCTGTGAGTTTGCCTTGGCCTGGGCTGTGTGCAGGTGCCTGAGCTGTGCTAACACCAAGTGAGTCTCTCACACAGATGGGGAAATGAGCAGGAAGGTTTTCCAGCTCTTCAGGAGCTGCAGAAATGTTGATGAGGCTGTGTGCTGTCCTGCACTGTGGGATTATGACAAATAATATGGTGATGTATGAATGGGGAAAAAGCTTGAATACGAAATGTCAAATGGGTTGTTTTAATTATATTTTGTAGTATTTTTTCATTCCTTCTTGTCTGTCTTTGCTTGCTTTCTTGTGGTTTGAACAAGAGCCTTCAGGGGCCTGAGACTGTTCTGTACATTTTATAGGAAGAGAAAAAGATGCTTCTGTTCCCTTCTGTGGAAAATAAGATCTAGATTCACAAATTTTTAACCCCAGCAGAGGATCCTGAGTCAGGGATGTGGCAATCTCAGGTTCTGTGTTTATCCAGAAGACAGAAGGAGGAACTCCCAAGGACCAGCAGTGTAATTGTCATCTGCTTTATTTAGGCAAGAATCTCCTGCCTTTTTTTAATTACTCCAAACCTCAAAAATAAAAACAAAGAATGTATCCTGCCTGACACCTTCTCTTCTCCTTTCTAGTTCGAGTTGCACTAAAATGATGGAATGTGACTGGTGAACAGAATGAAGGAGAAAGGGAAATACCCCATCATTCCAACACAGTTCCCCTGGGAGTCAGGGCTTTATATGTGGCTCTTCAAAAAGTGGCAGAAAACTAGAGAGACTTGGGGGATTATTTCCATTCTCTGCCTGTGTCACCTGCACTGTTAAGGTCTGTGAGGGCAGCACATGTTCTCTGCTCTCCCCTTGACAGTCCAGTGTGTCTGCAGCATGGCTTGGCCTCTTGCTGCCAGAGAGGACAGGAGAGACCAGGGACATCCCTCAGAACAGGCTGCACTAAGGAACCTCCAAAATAGCCTCAGATTTCAAGTGACAACAATAAAACATGAAAAGAGAGTGATTATCTTACATATAAACAGACCATCCCTAACCTCTTAGTGTCATTTCTGAGAAACTCTAGTGAAATTAAAGATTTTATCTGTCCTTAACTCTGGCTGTATCTGATAGGATTTCTGTGCTGAATATATCAATCTATCACCAGGATGTTGTAAAAAACTTGTAAATCTTCCCTGATACTTCCATTGGGTCACTCCATATGAGACCCCATCACATGCAGAGTGCCAGGGAAAATAAATCAGGATTTGAAAGGCTGTTTCACAGTGAAACAGAAGTTGCTTCGTACTGTGTGTAGTACAGCTCCACAGGCAAAACTGTTCCTCTGTCATTATTTAGGGCATATAAGCACTGATCCT